AGAGCTGTGGGGTTCTTGTGGCCTCCAAGCTGTTCTATTATCTGTAAGTTATCTTCCACTATTTCTCACGAGTTTTTTCATAGTTTTTTAGGCTTCTTTATGTTGATATCGACGATTTTCTCAAATACGGAAGTTTCAATTCTGTTTCGAATCATTTTCAGAAGATTTGGTTTCTGCCAAGTCTTGGTTGCTTTCTCGATTGGTGAAATTTTCTGCCTATTTTCCGATTCCTGTGATTTTGCGTAGAGTTTGTCACGAACCCCTGCGTGGTGTATTGCGTATCAATAATTTGAATTAGTTTTATTGCGCCTACTTCTTTATCCATCTGCTTTCTATAGCTCTGGAACTGGGAATCTCGGCTATGTAGTTGTAGAACTGTGAATTGAAGCGTCTGTTGTCTTGAAACGCTAGCAATAATTAAAGCTCTGTAAAATCTGGATTATTCCACTAAACCTTGATCATCTAGAATCAATTAATAGACTTCCATTAACCGGTTATTGTCCCTGTAATGATTTGTGATTGAATTCGTTTTTTCAGGAGTTTTGTTTCTTAATTGAACAAGCAAGCATTCTGAGTGGAGACATACGTATTATAGGTATAAAATGATTGATCTATTTCTGGCAGAGCCCATATTCAACGATGAAAAGGATGTTGACTCTGCCAAGTTGAGAATCTCTCTGTTAAGTAGATTGGAATCTGTTTTACGGAAATTGCTGGTCTCTGGAGGACGGTCCGAGGTCCGATTATGGCTTTCTAATACTATAGCTAGTATGACATCGATCAGTCCCCAGCATCAGCGGGACCTGTTTGTGACCTTCCTGAGAACGAAGCCACTGAAGTGGGCCTTAGCATCTCAACTACTACAAATGTTCTTTGAAAAGAGACCACGAGGGGCAGGGATCCTCATTGCCAAGAGAAGCTACATAATGGAAAAATTTTTCGAAGGTAATTCTGTCTACTCATTGTCAAATTTCGCTGTAGCAGTTCCAGCTGATAGTGTTACACAACCAAATCTTCTGTCTTTCAAATTGCCTGTGAATAAAAAACAAGAAAAGAACAATATCTTTTGGCTGGAAATAATAACCTGAACCTCGTTCGTAAGAATCCACTGTTTTTCTTTTTTTGGATGTTTGTAAATTCAATCCTTTCTAATGACTAGTTTCACTCCCACTGATTGGCTCAATGGTCATAGAGGTCACTAACCTGAAGAAAAAAAGTAAAAGACTTAGAAGGAATAAGCTAAAACCATGGTGCCACCTACTCAGGATTTTATATCCTACAAGTTTCTTTGGGAACTAAATGTAGTATAAATTAGTGGTTGTCCTATAATATTTGTTAAGATGTGCATAAGCTAGTTTGTACACTCATGGATGTAATAATAATAATAAAAAAAGTAGCTTCGCATGAATTTGGTTGCTGAATATAGAGGATGTATTGTTATGTCTCGTGTGAAACGCTGCTGGATGTGCTTTTTCTGTATTTTCTTTTGGTTGTTCCTATGCCATAATTGATCTCGTTTTTAGTTTTCTTGTCTATCAACGCATTTAACCTTAACTAAAAGACATTGCAAATGCTTCCCTTGGCAAGGGAGTTTGCTCATTAATGACACAACATACTAATTTTAAATAGAGTGGATTTCTGGTTCTGTCTTTGACGATTTGTTTTCACTTTTCATGCAGATTCCTGATCATGCTATGACTCCTTGATTCTGCAGGAAATTCTAGACGAATATCTCAGTGGTTTTCCAATTTTGCTACGAATGGTGCATCAGATCATGGGAAAGGAGCCAAGGCCCTGGCACAGTTCGCTTTTGTAAATCGGGACATTTGCTGGGAGGAGCTTGAGTGGAAGGGGAAACATGGGCAGTCGCCTGCAGTGGTTGCAACAAAGCCCCATTATTTTCTTGATCTGGATGTGCAACAAACTGTGAGGAATTTCATTGAGCATGTACCCGAGTTTTGGTCTTCCAATGAGTTTGCCGAGTCACTAAAAGATGGTGAAATTTTGTTACTCGATACAGAATTCTTTGTGAAATATTTTGTTGATCTGATGCTTAAAGATGATTCAAAAGATGTTTGGGAAGCCATTAATGAGTACCTAATGCAGGAGTCATTTTCTTCACTATGTCGACACCTCCTTATTACTCTTGAAGAAGCTGATTTCTGCTACTTTCTGAAAATGTTATGTAAACTCCTCAGCCCTAGAATAGAAACCAAGGATTCCGGTAGCTCATCTTTTGTGTCTGAGATCATACTTTCTAGATATGGTGACTGTGAATCTATTGATCAGATTTTACTATTAAATGCTGTTATTAATCAAGGACGCCAACTTCTACGACTTTTACGTGATGAAGATGCTGAGGAAGAATGGGATGAAATCAAAGCCATTGTCTCAGAGATTTCAGCAATCTCAAGCAACACTCATAGCTTATCCCCACTATTGAAAGAGTGTAACAGGAGAAAGACCATAGAGGTGATAAAGTGGCTAGGGCTTCAGTCTTGGGTTCTTCAGTATAGAATGTCAGAGGAATGTCAGACTCCTGAGTTATGGGAATCCTTGTTTGCTGATAATGGTATAGGCTTCCGGAAATCTAATGAATATGCGTTGTTAGATCACAGTTGCTTCTCAGAAGATGATGGTTTTGAACTGTGTGATACAGCATCGGCTAAACTTATGAAGCGAAGAAAGGGAAAAGGTAGAAAGAGAAGAAAAAGGAACTTTGACTTTGACAATGAGCTGTTAGGCTTTGATACTAAAAATGATAGGATTGATTTGAAGTTGAACACTGGAAGTTGGTTACTTTCCATTGATGACTATACTGTACCATGGAATGCTGTAAGTACTCTAATCATCAGCCCACCTTTCTGTATCTGATAGTAGATTAAAGTTAATGATCATGGTATGAGGATACAAGCTCTTCAAGTCTTTTGAATGTGTTTACATAATAATTTTTCAGGGGAATCGTTTTATTTCTTTGGCTTTAGTGTCTACCTTGGTTGTGGCTTCTGTAAGTTTCATACTTTAAATGAAGGAAGGTCCTGTATCAATTCTTAATTTACTGCCACATTAGTTCATATCAAACTTTTATCCCTATTTCTCAAATAATTGAAATTTCAATACAAGAGAACTCCTAATATACAACCTGGCCATCCTAGTTCATAAAGCATATTATCTGAAGCTTGGTATATTGGTATTTGGTCTTATGGTTATCATGAAATACTTGATTACGTATAATTCTACTGCTTGATGAAGAAAATGGTTCTGCGTTTCAGAGTGGTGCATCCTTTTGGTTCCCTTTTTTTCCTAATGTTTCATGTATTCAATGAAACTAGTTCCCTTAAAAAGTAAAAAGCAAAAAAAAAATTCCGTAGTTTTCTTATTATGTTGCTCTCTTGTAGATGGATCTACCAGAACACCTATCAAGGCAATGTATGGCTTCATGGATGAAATGGATGTTTACTAAGTTGGAATGAAGGTTAAAGCTTTACTAGTGTGAAGATATTCAGCATTGGAAGGAGACCAGATTTTACCTTCCGCGACCATGTGGTGACCGCAACAAGATTATCGTTACCAGCAGATATGAGCAAGATCAAATGTATCCGTAATGCAAGGAATGATATGATGGCCCCTCAGGCTCATTGCACAATACATGGTATCAAGTTATCCTATAGCCTTTTGTAAGATATTGCTGTCGTAGAAAACAATTAATCGCATGTCGACTAACCAATTACAATTGAATTGAACCGTCGTTTTTTGATTGTTAGTTGTTACTCATCACAGGAATATATGAGGAGTAGAAGGTCAGGTTAGTTGCCACTTTTACTGCCTTTTTGGTAGAATCAATATGTTTAGTTTTTGTAGTGTTTGTATATCAGTATAAATTTCCTGGATCTAGTCGAAAGATTGCTACCTGGTGGTTCTGGTTTCTCTCGTGTTAATCGTCCACGAACTTGCATCATTTTTTTTCTTCTTCTTACGAATCAGAGCGACGAATGACTGAATCTCTATGGAGACTCACGAACTTGCACCATTTGAAATTTTGTTTATAGTTCATATTCATAATTCTAATTAGTAGAAACATAAAAAGAATAAATCAGAGATGAAGAGAATTAAGTTTTTGCAGTGTTTGAAATTCTGTTTTCATTCTTCTCAACTTTTTTTCTCTTCATCTCTGATTTATTCCTTTTATGTTTCTACTCATTAGAATTATTAATATGAACTATAAACATGAAAAAAGTAACTCATGATGCCCTCTATACTGTGAAAACTGAGTAAAGGAGAGAAAGGGAAAATTTTTATACAAATGGAAATCATGTTTGCACAAAATTGGAAAATGTAAATGGTTGTCAATTGGGAGATTGTAAAAGTTGCAACTGGACTAGAATTTATAGTCAATTGTTGAAATTGAAAGTTGGAGATGCAATATGTTGAAGGAGCAATAGTTGGAGTAGAGATTCTTATGTTTTTTTCTTTTAGGAGAATATTATTGTCCAAAAAGACCGAAATCGGATTTTCGACTTGGTGTGGAACTTACCAGTCATATTCGTGAATTGTAGTAAACACCAAAATATGAGATCGGGGAGAATGATTTTATTTCCTCGTATTCTCATGCAACATAAGCACAATTTTATTGCTAAAACGAAAGAAACAAAACAAAAAACATGAAAGAATGAAGTAGAATAAACGGGAGGCGTCGGAGGAAAGACTAACGAACTACTTATACCACTCGAATTTTTGATATTTTTTTTTCTTTCTCATCAAAACGAATGACATTTTTGGATAGGAATCTTAGCTATTCTTATCATTATTCTCAATTGTGGTTGGATTTTGCCCTCATTTTACACTTACTTACCCTCCTCTCCATTAAACTTCTACCTTCATCTTCATACTTGCTCCTCTCTGCCTCTTGTAGCTCACTTAAGGACTTAAACCCTTAAGCTAGTGAGAGGTATTTCAATAGGGATCAAGTTGGAACCTTCTGTTGTCATGGAAGATGGGTCGTGGGAGAGAATGATTAAGACATGTATTGTTGATTAAAAGGTTGGAAATTCAAATCTCGGTTTACAATGAATAGTTACGTATTTACAAGAATACCGACAATTCAATCCTAACTTTTTTCTAATACCCTTCAATAAAAGAGAATATAAAATTTATTATTTATTAAGTTTATAATTACGATGAGAAAAAAAGTTAACTAGTTCAATGATTAAGATATCCACTTATAGTTAATTGGTAAAAGAAATCATACTATTTTGTGTACTTGATAAAAGTGAGATTTTTATAACATAATTATTTGCAAACTATTTATAAATAGTATACAACTTTATCCATATAAACGGGAGCTCATCTCTTACGTAGAAGAACATATCATTTCAATATCAAAAGGTCGTCTCTCAATGTAAAGGGACATGTTATTAGGCAACATTGTGTTGTGGAGGTCAGGTTGGATCACCTGAATTGGAAAAGTATTTCACAAGTTACAACCTGTGTCGGATAATTGAAAGTGTAATTTGTTGGGGGTAAATTTATCAAGAGAACTTAAACCATAAGGTATCTTCTTACAAAATCATCCATTTGAGGTCTTTACTTGTATGATGCGTTAAATGGTACATTATAAGATGCACTAAATAGTGCACTATAGGATACGAGATGCACTAAAAAATACGCTAAAGTTGCACTAAAAATGCACTAAAGTCGCGGTATATATGTTGGCATAACTATTTTAGCAAAGCATAGGACGGAAATAGAGGGGTCAAGCGCATAGCACGGCCATGCACGTAGCGCAGCACCACACATAGCGCGGCCTTTCGCGTAGTGCGACCTCGCACATAGTGCAACCCCGCACATAGAGCGGCCTCGCACGTATCACGGCCTCTCGCGTAACGCAGCCCTGTCGCAACAATAGCGCGGCCATAGTGCGGCAATAGCGCCTCTGTGCGGCCCTTGTATGAACAAGCACGCCCATCCACCATGTGCTCACGCTACCACATCTCTTATAAATAGAATGATCCATAACCTTTCAAGGTATGCAATTTCCTCTCAAATCACTATTTACTTCTCTCCTCTTAAGTTCATATACTAACTTGCATTGGAGTGTGTCAGCATCCACTCACCTTCTCTTTTTGCCGCTTTCGTCTCAACTTCCAAAGCCTAGATCTTGTGAAGCTATCAACTCTCTTGGTCTTCCAAACAACCTCTCCATAATCACTCAGTGGACAATTCGATTCACCGACTCTCAGTACGACCAGCTTCTCGAAAATTGTATCAACATAAATTTTTTTATTTACAAGTAATTATATTAAATATGTAGTTATCTTTTGTATAATACTAAAAAAGAAGTTATTCTTAAAAAAAGTCCGAAAAAAGATGGACAAAATTAACTGAATTTTTATCGCCAAAAAAAAGGACATTTCTTCAATATATTCTAAGGCGGCGAATGCGATCGGGAATTTCATCCGCCGCGGCCGCTCTGTGGAAATGGGCGGAGAAGCCGAGCAAGAACCAGAGGAGGCTCGGCGTCTCAGAGAACTGGCGGAGACGAAGTTCAAAGATTCCAATCTGAAGTCTGCTCTCAAGTATGCGAAGCGAGCCAACCGCCTCGATCCAAACCTCGACGGCGCCGCCGAGATGCTCACCTCCTTCCACATTCTCCGAGTCGCCGCCGACTCTCCGGACGACTGGTACCGGATTCTTCAGGTGGAGCCCTTCGCTCACATCAACACTATCAAAAAACAGTACAAGAAGCTCGCCCTGATTCTGCATCCGGATAAGAATCCCTACTCCGGTTCCGAGGAGGCGTTCAAGCTCGTCGGCGAGGCGTTTCGCTTTTTGTCCGATAAGGTTAGGAGGACGGAGTACGATTTGAAGCTCAGGATTCGGATTCAGGACGAGAAGATTGGAGTCGCGGACGCGGAGAGGGAGACGTTTTGGACTGCTTGCTCGACGTGCCGGCTGTTGCACCAGTTTGAGAAGAGGTACGTAGGCCATAATTTGGTGTGTCCTAGTTGTAGGAAGAGCTTTAAGGCCGTCGAGGTTGTGGCTGATGAGCCTGATTGTAGAGAAAATTCGGACATGGTTAGGGGTCGAAGGTTAAGGAATTTGAGCTCTAGGCAAAATTCTGGTAGTTTTCAGGGCTTACAAGATTCTAGCTCGAGGCAAAAAGTGAGGAAAATGAGTGGTGAGGAGCAGAAAGGTCTGGAAGTGAATGGAAAATCTGCTAGAAATGGCGATTTGGAGGAGGGATTGGATAGTGATGATGAAATATGGAGTGCTAGAAGATTAAGAAGTGGGAGTATGAGGAAGAAGATGAGTAGTGTTGATGATATTTTGCAGAGGTCTAAGATGAAGCCTGTTAAGATTGAGGAGGAAATGATGACTTTAGCTGAATTAAAGTCTCAGGTGATTCAGAAAGCTCGAAAAGCGAAGATGAAACTGAAGTTAAAGGAGGAGGAAGCTGAAGATAGAGAAAATAAGAGGAAGAAAGGGGTAATTGGGGAGGAGGATAGACTAACTTTGAAAGAGATGGAAAGTTTACTACGGATTAGTCGACAGGGAGCATCGAAGAGGACCGGGGTTTCCGAAAATGCAAAACACAGGAATTCCAAGAAGGGTACGAATCAAGGAGCTTCTGCTTCTTGTAATGGAGGTGATTTGGATATGATGGTGGTGGAGGATTCAGATTTTTATGATTTTGACAAGAACAGGATGGAGAGAAGTTTCAAGAAAGGGCAAGTGTGGGCAATATATGATGATGATGATGGAATGCCTAGGCATTATGGTTTGATTGAACAAGTTACTGCAAACCCATTTGAGGTGAAAATGAGTTGGTTGGAAATTCAAAACAATGGGGATGAAACACTAATTTCTTGGGAGAAAATGGGATTTCATGTCTCTTGTGGTAGATTTAAGGTTTGTGATAAAACAGCCATTGATTCACTGAACATTTTTTCTCATGCTGTGGATTGCGAAAGAGCAGCAAAGGAAGTCTATAGGATTTATCCCAAAAAGGGGTCAGTATGGGCACTTTACAAAGAAGAAGAAGCTTTGGATGCAGAGAAAAGAAGAGAGCTTTCGAGTAAAGAGAAGCGAACTTACGATATTGCAGTGTTCTTAACAACTTACAGCGAGATGCATGGTTTGAGTATGGCTTATCTTGAGAAGGTTGATGGATACAAGACAATATTTAAGAGGAGGGAGATTGGTTATCATGCTATTAGATGGTTCGAAAAGGACGATATCCGATTATTTTCGCATCAAATTCCTGCTCGGATGCTTTGCGCTGCAGATGAGGCTCTTGGTCTTAGGCATCTGAAGGACTGTTGGGAACTTGATCCAGCTTCCCTGCCTTCAGATTTGCTAACCACCTGCTGGAGCACATAGCATCTGAGTACAAAACTCCCATGCTGTTTGGGTTCGACCATATCTTAATATTGCTGGTGGCGTTCGAGCAAACAAATTATCGGGTATGTACTCACTACCTATGTAGGTTTAATCAACCAATGCATTATGATTTGTAGCATGAGAGGTATTGTAGTGTAAATCAAAAGCACAGTCTCTTCTACCCATAACCATAGTAGTTTCTTCATATTTCTACTTTTATTAGCTAAGAATTTGTGGACTCTGTCTCAGAATTAGTGACATGATTATTGTTAGGACAGAAATAGAAGAAGAAACTTTGTGTGACTGAATAAGCATTGAAAACACAAGGAAGAAAATATAAAAACCGAAGTAATATCTAAACGCATTAATTTCTAAGGATAAACAATTACAGGAGTGGAAGATCGAACCATCGAAGTTAGAGATGGTAATAAGTACCCTTTTCTACTTGAGCTATGCTCGGATTGGCTCTGAGGATGAAGTGTTTTGATATTTCTCAACGTCATGGAAAACATAAAAGGCTAAATATTGTAAGATTGTGGTATTTTTCAATTTTCATCTCTATCTCTTTGTATTTACTTTTATCCATCAAAGTCTTAATTCCACACAAGAGTAAAATTGATTGGCAAAATAATCTGCAACTTCAATCAAGTTCTCTCTATATAAAATTCAACAAGTCCTCTTAAAAGTATATTTTGAATAGTTAAAAAAAATTTCAAAAATTATAGTGATCCTTAGGATTTCAGAATTTTCTCAGCAATCTTGTAAGGTTAAGTTGCTAGCTAGAGACCATCCCTAATAACAACAAATCCCCCATGCGATAAGTTATTCAGATACTTGAACCTGCTTGCATTGCATCTAGATAAATCGAAGCGAGACGAAGGACAATGACGTGAAATGCACGACGGAGGCGTATTATGATTTTTCATTGATGGGATGGATTAAAGCGATTGCAGCAAAGAATTGGTCTGAAACGAAGAATTTCGTCTATGAAGTAGAAGGACCATATCGAACATCTTGAAAATATAATGACCAAAATAAATCAAAACTGAAAGTACACGAATCAAATTAGTATTTTAACCAAAAATTTAATAACTATTAAAACAACTTTTTTCTCTAAAGTCATCTCAAGACACACTAACAGTTTCTAAATTCTATTCGTTTTCAAATTTGGCCAGGATCACAAGAACTGTTTATAGTCCCAATTTGAATTGGCAGAGGAACTAAAGAAAAGTACCATTTAGAGGAGAACTTTACGAATGGCAATGTGGATAAATTTAGCAGTTTTAGTTATACAGAGAATTTAATTCCTTCGTCATCTGTTGAAGAACCCTTGAAAATTGCAAGCTTCCCCTTCTGCTCAAGCAGTTTCAACGCTCTCATTAAAATCGTACGATCAATCCCTTGAAGCTCTGATGCATAAAACAGAAGAAAAAAGAAGAGTAATTTTGGTCTGTGAAAAATGAGGTTTCAATGTAATTTCAGGATGTAATATTTAAGCAGAAACAAACAGCATCGCAACCATATAATCCAACTCTAATGGATGTTTACGTTTATTTGTTTTAATTTTTGAGCTCCCAAATGTTCCAATTTTTAAAAATATAACCTACCAAAATTGAAAGGTCAAAATTCTATTAGATACAAAATTAAATTGTATATCATCCATTACATCCATGAAATTTTAAAAATATCAATGAGATCAAGGACGTATTAGACACCAAATAGAAAATTTAGAGACCTATTACACACGTTTTTCCAATTTCAATTGACTTATTTGAGACAAAAATTGAAAATTTGCGGACATTAAATACTTTTCGAGTTTCATGCATCTACTAGACCAAAGTTGAGAAACTAAACTTGTTATTTAACTAAATTTGTTTTAGTTCTGTACTATGTATATTTCTTAGAGCATTTAAAAAAAAAAAAAATTCTCACATAAGTTATGTTTTAAGAATCGGTTTGGTGTAAAATTTGACAATAAGGACCAAAACGAAATTCAGAAATCAAAATAGAAATTTTTACGAGTACAAAAACAAATTTAAATATCAAAATCAGATTTAAACCTAAAATTACCAATTGAAAATCATTCGAATATCCAAATCACCTCAGAAAATGCATGGGAATACCTGTTCCTCTAGATTCAACTCCTGAACGCATTTCCTCAACCGTCATTACACTATCTTCAAGTCCATTGTTTTTCACCTATTTAGTTAGACAGTAAAAATTTCAAAACCATCACTTGTAACAATTCAGTCATTGTACTTCCAAATTTGAAATAATTTAATTCCTGAACTTTAGTATGTAACGATTTAGTCTGTGTAGTTTAAAATTTGTAACGATTTAGTCTCTATTGTAAAAAAATGTTGTTAAGCTTAATGACAGATAAAATGACAAGCGACCAAATGTGTTTATAAACTACAAAGCCTAAACAATTATATAATAGAAATTGACACATAATTTTGATGAGATTTTTCACAATAAAGACTAAATTATTACAAATTTTAAACTACGGCGACTAAATTGTTACACACTAAAGTTCAGGGACTAAATTATAATCAATTTATAAGTATAGGGACTAAATCATTAGTTTTCAGGGATTAAATCGTTCCTAGAATGAAACCAAAAGTGTTTTTTAACCAAAAATTTAACTTGGTATTTAATCTTACGAAGTGCAAAATGATGTCAGCCCAATCTTGAATCCGGTGCCACAAAATAAGGCATTTTCTATGTCCCTTATCCAGCCATTCTGCGCGACCTATATTGGACAAATGAAAGCAACAGATATCAGTTTTTCCCTTAGGAAATGAAATGGAGACTCTAAACAAATAGGATTATAGAACTAAATAAGCAGGGCCAGACCATCTGAAACTAAGGCTGAGAGAAATGCTTCTCTAGCTTCATGACTGAGAGATCCTGTAGCAGCACAATCACACTGTAAAATACATCAAATAAACTGAAATAGTAACACATAGCTTCATGACTGAGAGCCCTATACACCAATTCTAATGATATTCTATCCTCCATAGAGTGAAAGGCTGCATATAATGAGGCCAATATCTTACATCTTTTTCAGACTGTTCATGATGCTAATGTCAATGGCCATTTTAAGGTTGATATTAATGCAAATGGTAAAAGATTTGCAACCAATTAGGGCCAAATAAGTTCATGGAATTTACTCTCGATGGCAGTATTGGTAAATATAGGAAATTCCTCTTCAAGTCCGATGACAAATATCTTTTGTGTTCGGCAATAGTCAAGAATAAGTTCCTTCCAAAGTTGAATTTGCTTCTCGCGGGTGTCCCTCACTGGTTGCAAACTGAGAAGACATGCAATAGAAGATTACATTTGCAACTCAAGACAAAAAGACAAGATTGAAAAAAAAAAGGAAAAAAAGTGAAACAATCAAGGTTACTAGTAACAATTTCAGGAATTGCAGCAAGGTAAAAATTATCACATTCTTATTTATGAGACTATAAGTGATACAGGATTCTGTTAGAGATAAAACTTAGGTGCTTACTGGTAAGTAGGTATCTTCTTACTTATCACTAATAAAAAATTTACAAGTATTTATTCTATTTCCTCTCTATTCCTTTATGCATTCATTTCTCTTGTCAATTTTTAATAATGGTGAGTAAGAGACCAGTATTTATTCTACTTCCTCTCTATTCCTTTATGCATTCATTTCTCTTGTCAATTTTGAATAATGGTAAGTAAGAGACCTACTTGCCAGTAAGTACCTAAGTTTATCCTTTAGTGTTATGTAACTACTGTTATGTAACTTTACTGGTTGAGAGTGAAGTGTCAGTTTATTTCGCTCTGAAAATAGCCGTCAAAAACAAGATATCAACATGATCAGATATTGATTCACTGAACTTTTAACTAACTTGATGTAGCTCATACTGATGTAAGAACAATGGTAACTGGGCAGAAAAAGAAAATTACGTGAAATATGGGGGGTAATTGAAGAAGTGTGGCAGCTTGAAATCTCCCAATTTCTGCATTTTCTCTATTGTCTTCTCTCAAAGCGAAGTTCTATGGCTGCATCTCATCTCTAGAGCTGAGAAATTTGAGATAAAAAGGAGGAAATTTAGTACCAACAAAATAACACAGGGAGTCTCAAAGATGGCAGATCTTGCCATTTTTGTGTCAATGTATAACTATTTGAGGTGTTAATGATTGAATAAAACTGAAGACTTACAAACTGATACAAGCTTCTCAGTACAAAACTATATATTGATCTGAAATTCAAGCTATTATCCTTATCTAATTTCATCCTGTGGGTGATTATGATAGAAAATGAGCATGTAAAACTAGAATCAATTTTCATCCTGGAATGACTTTTGAGAATACTTTTGAAGAAACTAATCAACTACTCCTAAAAACATATTTAATCATTCTAAATTAGTCCCAAACTTATCCTTCGTTTGTAAGATAATGATTATCTACAAAAGATTGTTAAACTTGTACATAGATTCAGATCGTGCTTTTGAATCGGAAATTTCGCGTATCGTTCGTTTCGTATGTTGAATCGTACGAAACGGAACGAATCGAATTCAAGAACAAAAAGAAAATTAGGGCTTTTACTAACCTGAATAGCGGCATGTCCAATGAGAGTTAACGAAGAACAGTGAAAAAAAACGCAGAAGAAGAGGAGAATATGCCGACGGAGAACACAGAAAAGAAGAAGGAGGCTGATTATTTAATTTATTTTTACTTTTTTTTTGGATATTATAAATACTAAATAAAAATATCATTCACAATTTTTTTAAATAATATTTTTTAAAAAAACAAATCACACAAATAATCTAGGTTTGAAAGGACAGTGGAATCGTAGTTATTGGGTGCGATTTTAGGTAAATCGCATTTAATGACTGCGATTTTAGGTGAAATAGCAGTTTTCAGGCGAAACTTCAGCCGAAATCGCAGCCAATGACTACAATTTTGTGAAAGTCGCAGTCATTGGCCGCGACTTCGGTATGACATGGAGCCACGTGTTGGGATGGAAATTGTGTACATTTGTTGCGAGTTTTATATAGTATATATATTGTTTCGTTAATTGATTTCATGATAAAATTTGTTCAGCAGTGGTCATAGTATTCATTAATAACCCTCTCTTCACAGGTTTTATTTCTTTTAATTTTTTTAATATAAGTTATTGTAATGTTTAATATGATCTAAGATTTATTGTGAAAAAATATGTTCCAATGGAGGTATACTTTTTCTTATAATAAAATAAATTATATTTTATAGGTAAAATAAATAAAAACTCTATAGAAAATAAAAAGTCAAATAAATACTAATAAAATAAATAATATTTTATAGGTAAAATAAATAAAAAAATACATAAAAAATATATAAATATTTTAAATGATTGTACGCGATTTTCCATAAATAGAAATTGCGTACAATGTACGCGACTTCTATATATGGAAAGTCGCGTACAACGTATACGATTTTCTTACTGACTCATCTTTATGGCACGCTTTACTAATAGTTTCCAAAGCGGTTTTCACCATCTATTTCTGCCTGAACTCTTCTCCAGTTTCCCTTCTAGCGAACGGGAAAAGCTTATCCCTCACTTGCACTCACTCGCATTCGCCTAATCGAGTTTAAGGTCCACCTCATCTATGTCATGTTGGCACGTAAATCGCATTTATTGGATGCGGTTTTTTACTTGTCAATAGTTTGAATCTATAACTTAATTTTGTAATTTTTTATTTATACTACATTTATTTTGTTATTACTTTTAAATCTACATTATTCTGGTAATTTGTTATTTAAACTATATTATTCTTAAACTTTCTCCCATAAATAAATATGGATTTTCAAACCATTTGAAAGTTTAAAATTTTACAAAAATTAAAATATAATATAAAGCATTACGATTTTTATTTTACATTATATTTTAATTATTTCGTTTGATGTTTAATTATTTGATTCAAAATAATTACAACAAATAAAAAAATGACCTTGGTTATAAAAGGTTTGCAAAAACAAAGTGAGTGAAGAAAGAATGGGGAATAAATTACAATAATCCAATATTTTTTTCCCAAAATTACACTTATTAATATTGCATGGAAATAAAAATTAAAAGTGGAAGCTTATATTGACTTAAATACAAGAAAACACAAAACATTAACTAGAGGGGAAAATATAAAAACTAAGGGCCTAACATATTTCATTTTCTTGTTTTCATTTCCAATTTCTTAATATATATGAACATTTTGCAACTAACTTTGCTTTTTATTCTCTTTTTTGGAACGTTTTCAAAATTTGTATAGAAATTTTGAAAACAACCGAAACAAGTATTTCCTTATTGTTTTTATTTCCGATTGCTCCAAAACATAAATAAAAATATTGTTTTATCATACTTGAATCCATGGACGTTGGAGCCATACAATTCACTTTTATTTATTAAAAATGAAGAAACATGAACAATACCAAACCAATTCTAATTGTTTGTGAAAAAAAAGTTTGAAAAATGAGTAAGAAATATCTCTTTATATAACTTTAGGAGACGAATAATTACAAAACTTTAAATTTTAATTATTAATTATAATTAAAAATAACTCATTACTTTTTTTAATTAATTTATAGAAATAAAGGGACAGAATTTTACGTATTCTAATTCTTTATATTCTAATTCTTTATATTCTAATTTTTCGCAATAAAAATAACTAATAATTAACACTTCACATCTATTTTGATGATTCTTAAAAAAACCCCTAAAACTTTAACTCTTTCATTTCATAAGTGGTGTGAAAATTTGGATAAAAAATTTGAAAAAATCAGTTAAGGGATAATTGGGATATTATTTTCAAAATCAAGTATAACATTGTCAAAAAAATCTTACAAATCCCTACTTTTATATAGATTTAGATAGTTTATAGATTATATTATTATTATTATTATTATTACAATTGCAAAAATAGAGAAATATTTCGGATCAAAGGGCAATATTATTATAAAATGAGGGGAGTTGTCTACCAATTTTTCAAATTTATAAATAAATTCAAGACAAACAAACATTTAAGCAATCAACACAAAAATCTTCTCAAAACGAGCATAGTTCAACGGTAATTGACATATATTCCTAACTAAGAAGTTGTTATCGAGCTTCTACTCCAAACTTTGACTTCTGTAGTTGGTCGGTTTTATTGGACTAAGAACCCTAGAGCAAAACAACTCGGGTAATCAGTTGTAGGCAAAAACTCGAGCCCACTTTGAGCCCAAGTTATGAATCTATTGGACATGCTTTATTGTTTTGTTTTTTATTTTTAGATTTTTTTAACTTTTAAATTAAAAGTTGTGTATTAAACGTATAGGTAAGTCCTTGAAACAATTTTTTTTAGATGAACAATTTAAATGTTATGTATAACACCCTTTCAATTAACGATGGACTTTTCACGTAATAGAATTAATTAGAAATAAAAGGCTAATGATACATTTATGAGTGATTTTAGTATGGTTAAAATCACTTTTATTATTGTAAAATAATCATTTTTCTTTAAAATGATGATGTTTGACAAAGCACATAAATTTGATATTAGGAAAATCTAAAACTTGAGTACTGACGTCTCATGAATTATAGCAGCTTTATTCCTCTTGCGTCTGTAAGAGTGAATTCTCTCTAGCTCCTTATTTATACATTTTCTTCTTATATCATCTATTAATAATTGAATTTTATTATCAAATATAATCTCTCCATTAATAAGTTTCCACACCCACCTTTAAATCAATTTATACTCAAAGAGGTCGGACTCCAACTTCAATTGCTAGAGTTATCCCTTCATAATTCAAAGTCCAGACCCTCTAAGATTCATAGTTCTTTTAGCGGCCATCAAAACTTCTTCACTCACATCACGATTGATTATCCAAAGCTTGTAATTGGTACATCTGGAGGCACCCACTTTATTCCACTTGACCTATAAAACTATAGCAAATACTTATGGCTTGTTTAGCTCAACTCCTCAATCGTCCTACAAAATAAAGAGGTAAATTCAATGTAAATATATTGTAATAAGCGGGTAGTTGGACTCGATTCTAGTACCCATTAACCAACTAAATCCTTGTCATAATTCATAAATTATTGTCAAACATGTTTATCTTAAAATGAAAGTAATTTTGATATTAACAAGTATGATTTTAACCATTTAAGTATAATATAAAGAAGTGAATATTCAAAGTCGACTTTTTAATTAGGCAGGCGTTTCAACTTATAATTTAACTATTTTTTTTTAAATTCACCAATAATACAATGTTAGCGTGAAAAACGTTGGCGGTTGAGCGCGCGCGAAGAGCAAATGGCGTGAAAAACATGGAGGAGGGAAAAAGAGAGAGATGTTGACTGTGAACTCCACGGAGCTTTCAAAATCAACGAATCTTAAACTGTGAAATTCTTGCACTGAGTTTATGTAGTCTCACATCAACATCAATATCTGTGGTTCCATCTCTATATCCGCGTAAGAATTTGATCGATTGTTCTAATTTGTCGCCAATTTGAGCTTCATTTATCGGTTTCTGAATCTATTTTAATCTCCCTTCAGATCGCACTGCCTGGTCACACGTTGATTCGGAAGTTGATCGGGGAATAGTAGCGATGGCCGTGTGAGTTCGATTGTTTATTTATTTGAATCGAAATATTTTCTTTAGCTGTCGTTATCTGTCAATTTGGAGCATTTCTGGAAGGATCAATCGAAGTTTCATCACTGCTACTCTTTGGTCCATATCTGGTAGAAACTCAATATATGTTTGTGTTTTCAGATTAAGTCCCATTGCTTAAGAAGTTTCAGTTTAGTATGGTACATTCGAACATCTTCCAAATTATATCATTTCTGTTGATGGATGTTAAATGTGGCTAATAGTTAGCTTACTTAGCATAATACGTAGTGAGTCAACAAACTTTTGATGATAAATTAGGTCATCTAAGAATCTAAGAAAGGATAATATTGAACTCTTCTGAAGTTCTAAGAAGTTGGACTTTTCCATCTTAGGTGGTTTAATTATTCTCCTAGAGTTTTTCGGACTCACCGAATATCATGTCACTTATACTCGTATTTAACATCTACTAATAGTAAGGGTATAATTGAAAAATGTTAGTGTATACCGGACTAAATTGAAGCTTTTTAAATAGAGGAACTAAAATGAAAAAAATACTCTAAACATATGTAGTGACGTGAAGAGTGTCAATTCGGTTTGTCACTGTTGTTGCACCAAATTTAGATATCTCTAGACATATGACTGTGAAGTCAATTCTAAATTTAATGCTTCTACAGAGTTGCTTCAGCTCCTGGGAAAGTACTATTGACGGGAGGATACCTGATTTTGGAGAGACCAAATGCTGGTTTGGTACTCAGTACAAATGCTCGGTTTTATGCAATTGTGAAACCACTTCACGAGCATGCTGAGCCAGAAAGTGGGGGTGGGGTATGTAACCTATCATGATTCTGCAAGTGTTAATAGTTTGGGTCATAACAATTTTATATCTTTTTTTTTCAGTTTTTGAAATTTAAGTTTACAAACACTAATGTCACCATTGTATTTCTTTGCATTGTTATCTACTTTTCAAAATCTAAGCCAATTTTGAAAAACAGTAGGTTTTAGAAACTTATTTTTGTTTTTGAAATTTGGCTAGGAATTTGGATGTGCATGATGGAATGGTGACATAAATATGCACAAATATCAAAGTAATTGAGAGGAAGTATGTGTAATTTTAAGAACAGAAAACACTTGACGAAAATGTTATCAATTGGGACATTAACAAGTTGTTTAAATTCTGCTGTTTATACGTCCGAAGTGACTTGTGCTATGATTATTTGTTTACTGATAGGGCATTATTTTCCTTCTAAAACTGCTTTTAGAGACTCGAGTTTTGTACTCTTTCCCCTAAAATAATTGTTTTGATTACTGTCATGCTGAGTACCATTCGTATCGCAATACATTTCAACAATCTTTTTTCTTTTCTCAGGAATGGGTAGATGTGAAATTGACCTCACCCCAGCTCTCTCGAGAAAGTCTATATAGATTGTCGCTAGAGAACTTTACGGTTCAGTGTGTCTCCTCAAGGTAAGTCATTTTTACCTCTATGATGTATGCAAACTTATTTTTATTCAAGAAGTAAATTTGAGTTTTCACTGTATATTAGATTTTCTATACGACCAATTAGGTTAATACAGGTACTGTGACTGTCCATAATTTCAGTGAGTCGAGGAATCCTTTTGTAGAACATGCAGTACAATACTCCTTAGCTGCTACACATGGAATATTTGATAATAACAAGAAAGATTCACTGCACAGATTGCTACTGCAAGGTAAAATCAGTATGATTTTCTTCTCAGTCGTCTACAACCATTAATGCTACAAGCTAAATTTCCAACGGGTTAGTTTTGCAGGTCTGGATATCACAATTTTAGGTTGCAATGATTTCTACTCTTATCGGAATCAGGTGCTTGATATGTTTCGAAATCCATCAACGATTCATTCTTATTTCTGAACATCTATTCTACAATACAACACAAATATCTCTTTTTGTTTGCGACTCTATTCGCTTTATAAGGAGTGTAAAGAAAAATACTTAGTTGTTTACTTATCAGTACCCATCTTTTGCTGACTGCATCAAATTTTTTACTAATAGAGAAATACGGAGAGACATTTTTTTCTGTTTTTAAAAAAGTAAACGACTGTCAAATTTTTATTGGTAGTTAGCATGAAGATAGATGCTAACTGGTAAGTACCTAAGTATTATTTTGGTAGAAATATTTGTTTAGAACCGAGGAAACACTATCTCATAAAGTCAGTGAATACCTTGTTTTTCCTAAATAACAATTAATTATTTCCTTCAAAATGTGTTTCTAGGACATTGAGGTTCCATTTTTGATGTTAATGAGCTGTTACCATTTCATAGATTGAAGCACGTGGACTTCCTTTGACACCAGAATCACTGATTTCTTTTCCACCATTTGCATCAATTAGCTTCAATGCTGAAGAATCAAATAGTGAAAATTGCAAGCCCGAAGTTGCAAAAACAGGATTGGGATCATCTGCTGCCATGACAACTTCTGTTGTTGCTGCTCTACTTAATTATTTTGGTGTCGTAAATCTTTCCTCATCAAAAGGTCAAGACAAGGAAAATAAAATTAAGGATCTTGATATGGTGCATGTAATAGCCCAAACTGCTCACTGCATTGCACAGGGGAAAGTTGGAAGTGGATTTGATGTCAGTTCTGCAGTCTATGGTAGCCAACGTTATGTTCGTTTTTCACCTGATGTGCTAGCTCCCGCTCAGGTATATAGCCATCTGCTACTCATTATTTAGCTCTCATTTCTCCGTTTCTTTACAATCTATATTCTGAGTGGCTAGTCACCGTCTGCTTACAGACTGCACCATCAAACCGAAACACTCAAATCGCATTTTATTATTCATGCACCAATACTTTTTCCATTTCACAAAATTCTGCATACTCCTTTTCCTAAGTTCTTAACACTTGAAATTTGCTTGCAAGGTGCTTTACATTAACCATCAGTAGCTGTGCTATTTTAGTGGCAGCATGGCTGATTTATGTTTTAAATGGAATGAAGTTAGAGCTTTTTTCATCTGACCTTTTCACTTGTTTTTATCTGGGCATGGAGTTGACGGTGACATGATTGTCATACCTTTTCCTTTGATATTGAAATTCAACTCTTTTGGCTATATATTATTCAGTATTTGTTGATAACTTTGATCGTTTTTAAACAATATGATATTCCTCCTGTAGTGCTCGAAGGGACTAATCTTAATATCCAGTACCTGTCTGTGTACAATGTTGAAATGTTGCTTTTTCTTTCACGCTGAAGGTTGAGTTTGTGAAAAAATTTTCCAAGGGTAAAAAATGCTTTTCACTAATTAAAAACAATTTTCAAAATTCTTAATTAGATAATCGATGATTTTGAAAATTAAAAAACACTTCAAAGAAGCTTTTAGAAAAATACTTAATTAGTTTCTTTCGAGAGTGCTCATAAAAGAAGTGCTTAACTTAAAAAAAAAAAACACTTTTCTCAAAATCCATCCCAAACTCACTGTAAGTTTCGGTGGAGAATATCTCATCATAAGGTCCTCTTATCTTGAAGTAGGCCTTGGTGCAAATTCTGAATTTCGATTACAAATTTTCTGCTTTTGAGAATTCCAAAGACCTTGAATGTCTTCCTGAACTTGTATTGTCTTTTATTCATTTTTATTATTTCAGGCGGCAGTTAAAGGACCACTAGAAGAAGTCATCGTCAATATCTTAAAAGGAAACTGGGACCATGAGAGGACTGAGTTTTCCTTGCCTCCATTAATGAATCTTGTGAGAAAGTTTGGTATTTCCCCCTTGTATTTATTTAAATAACTATTTAGATATTTACCAATATTTCCTAAATATTTAGGTGTATTTTATGGCTTCTAGTGCTAGGTTCTTTCTTTATGTGGCACAGTTTACTCTAAAGATCTTTTGTGGATATAGTATCTTTACATATATTCACTTCAAAATGAAACTTTTCTATATCAAAGCAGCTTCGTTCTCAGGTTATGTAGTATGAAAATAAATAACCCCATCTGACAACCATTTCGTTTTTTGTTTTTTGTTTTTAAAAATTATGTTTGATTTTTACCATTTCTTTGGTATGTTTTTCACCTTCCTTAAAAACATATTTCAATTATTATCCAAATTTAGAAAACAAAACCAAGATTTTAAAAACAACTTTTTTTAGTTTTCAAAATTTAGCATAGATTTTGAAAATATTTTTAAAAATTAAATATTAAGATAAATAAGCATATAGGTGGAAGTAGTGTTTCTAAGTTTAATTTTTAAAAACAGAACACAAAAAATCAAATAGTTATCAGACGGTCTACTTTATTCAATCACTGAGACTATCTTTCTTCAATGTTCTTGTTTTTTTTGTCAGTTATTAGGGGAGCCAGGAGCAGGAGGGTCATCCACACCATCTATGGTAGGTGCCGTTAAAAAGTGGCAAAAGTCTGACCCTCAGAAATCTCAAGAAACATGGAATAAGTTGTCCGAAGCGAATCTTGATCTTGAAAACCAACTAAACTTACTAAGAAAGCTTGCAGCAGAACACTGGGATGTGTACAAATGCATTATAAGCAAATGCAGCACACTTAGATCAAAGAAGGTACTTCCCGAGCTCAACTAAGACATGTTTGGAAGTGATTTTGTCACACTTGCCATTGTCTAAACTCACTCATATTATTGTCAAACATTACTACTTTAAGACGGGGTGATTTTGACAATGATATACTGTAATTTAAAAAAATGGCTAAAGTGATATTTTTGTCCCTGTGTGATGGTTTACTACATTTTATCCATCTTTATGTTAATTGACCTTAAATTGTTACAAATTGGTATTAGTGGATGGAACAAGCCACTGAACCAAGCCAACAAACCATTGTTAAAGCATTGTTGGGAGCAAGAGATGCTATGCTCGAGATACGAAGTAATATGCGGCAAATGGGCGAAGCTGCAGGTGTTCCAGTAAGTCCTTTTTTTCTTTATTTTATCTCCAAAGCGACAAATAGGAAAGTGTGTGTTTAGCTAGCTAAGTCCCTCTTTTTGTACTAAAAAAAAAAAGTAACTCCCTTTTTTTCTTTATTTTATTTTATTAAGTGATTGTTTCTTATAAAATAAAATATAATAGTGTAACTAAGTGTGTGTTTTGGGATGATTTTTAAATGAAAATACTCTTTTTATAAAGTTTTTTTTTAATTACTAATTTAGTGCAGGTTTAGTATAATTTCCTAGGTAATTTTAGATGACTAAAAGTACTTTTTGAAAAAGCTACATATTTAGTAGTAAATTTAAAAAAGAAACATTGTAAAAGATTGGTTTAAAAATACTTTTTGAAGAAACAGTTGAGAGATAATTATTCAAAAAGTGACTTCCAAGCGATCGACACCCTTGTAGTTTAAACACTCGAGAGATGATTGTTAAGAAAATGCTTAGACTGGAAGGTATGAAACTCATGCAAAGAGTGATTCGTTACAGTTATGATAGTATATATATTGTTGGAACAATTACATTAATAGTTATCTTTATGCTCAAATCTATGTTCATAGTTGCATTTTAAGTGGTAGTTAGGGGTACGACAGCTACAATTTATGATGAAAGTAGAAATAGTAGTGAAAGTGAAAGTTCTAATAAGAACTAGCACGAATGAGAACCGAAAATTCTAATTATCTAGATGGAACATTTTGGGCTGAACAGTACAAAATTTAGAGTACTGAGTTCTGTTGTTGGATATAATATATATTATATATATATATATGCAGATTGAACCAAAGTCCCAAAGTGAGGTTTTGGATGCAACCATGGAATTGGAAGGAGTGTTGTTGGGTGGAGTTCCAGGAGCAGGTGGGTTTGATGCTGTATTTGCTATTACATTGGGTGATTCTTGTAGCAGCCATGTGATCAACTCATGGACTTCACTCAATGTTCTTCCCCTCCTACTTAAAGAAGATCCCGATGGAGTTGCTCTACAAACTGCTGATCCTAGAACTAACAATATTGCATCTTCTGTTTAATACCATATTTTGTGCTGTGTTTGGTAGAAAATGGATTGAGGTTTGATGATTTTAAACTGTTCTATCTTTTTCGGGTTTAAATTTGGAGAAAATATACTAGTGAAGTTATGAGTTTAGTTCTGAACTTTCAGGATTATGTTTATTGGTGCTGGTACCTTGAAAGGTTTTTAATAGATTTCTAAGTTCTCGTTTGGTGACCATTTCGTTTTTGGTTTTCTGTTTTTAAAAGTTAAGCTTAGGCTTAGAAACATTACTTTCATCTATGTGTTCCTTACCTATAGTCTTCATAAACATCTTCAAAATCTATACCAAATTTTGAAGAAAAAAATATATAGTTTTCAAAAATTTGTTTTTGTTTTGAAATTTGGCCAAGAATTCAAATATGTTTTCAAAAAATGTGAAAAACTTACAAAAATAGGCATAATTTTTAAAAACTGAAAATTAAACATGAAAGGGTTATTGAACTTCTATTTTTTTCAAGTTATCTTTGTTTAGTCTGCGTGTTCTAAAAATGTTCTAATAGGCACATAAATTTTCAATTTTTGTGTCAAATAGGTGGTAGATTTTTGCCATTAACTCTCTCCAATGAAAACTTATAACATCAAATGTTTGAAGCTACAAATTTAACCTGTCACGTAATCTTCAAATAACATAATCATCATGTCATGTACCTTTCCACCCGTGAAACTAGCGGTAGAGAGCTATTATATCATAAGATTGAAAGTCCTCAGGTTGATAAAAACAAAATTTAATATGTATGCTAGATAGACATACTTGAAAGTTCCGAAATCTGTTATAAACTTTTTATAGTACATAGGCTAAATACGTGCAACCTTAAAACGTATAAAGATCCAACTTGTAATTTAACCAACTGTATTTCCAACTATATCTCACAAAATAACATGATATGAATAACTAGAAATTAGAAAATGTAAAAAAAAAATATATTAGCACTTCTAATTTGTTTATTGCCTAACAAAATAACAGGATACGGATAATTAGAAATTAGAAAATGAAAAAAAAAAAATCAGCACTTCTAAGTTGTTTATTGCCTAAAATGAGACAAAAAGAAGAAAGAGACAAAGTATAAATGCGATTCTATTGTTGTCTCATATTTATTATTTCTACTTTTAACCAAATATTTATTTCATTTTTAGTATTTAGTTATTATATTAAATTTTGGAGAGAGAGAGTAGAAGAAAATGGGAATAAAAAACTCATAAAGTTGGTAAGTTGTAACCCAAACAAACCCAATAATGCTACCTGACCCTCACCTGCCTCTTAACTCCCCACTCCCTCATCCTTTCCTTTTTGTTTTAGTCTTTTTTTTATTCGGTTAAAGTTGATTTTAGTCCAGTCAACTTTAAAAATAACTATTTTAGTACATGGTTCACGTAAGTTCATATACTTTCAAACGATTGTTTTGATTTTTTACTTCTAAAAGTTACTATTTTTAAAAAAAATATTGACCATCTACCTAGGAATGGATTCAAACCACAACAGACGCCTATAAAAAATTTAATATCTTATGAGTTTCTTTGACAACCAAATGTAACAGAGATAAGTGGTGTCTCATAAAATTAGTCGAGGTGTGCACAAACTGATTCGAACACTCATGGTTATGAAAAAAAAAGTGACTATTTTAGTCACTATTTGTCAAACTTTGACACCTATACTCGAACTAAATTTAGTGTCATGTTTAAATTATGGTTAAAAAATGAGATAGAAATTAGATGAAAGAAAAAAATCACATTTTTTTTTAATACAGTATATGGAAATAGAGATTTGAAGTAAAAGTGATGACTTTTTAAATGTATTAAAAGACCTGAAAAGTTAAAAATACTTTAACAAAACAATACAAAAGCAAAAAGTATATAACAGCCAAATGATAGCTAAAAAAGAAAAAAAAAAGGATATTTTAACCATTTTATTTTTACTGATTCTCTCTTTCTCTCTGTCTTCGATTCACCTCGGTAGTTGTGGGTCCTTCTCCATACTTAATTACTGCCTTCCACGTGGTCATCATTAAGATCCCCTCGCTGTGGGCCCTCACCCACCATTAGTATTTATTCTCCATCCATTTTAAGATTTCAATTCAAATGTAAGACTTTAATTGAAAGTTCAAATCTACCTTTTTTGAAAAATAAATTTTAGTTGGGTTACAATTAAATTGACGGTTTTTTATAGGCTACTCTTCGACTAAAAGACTGTGAGTTCGAGTATCTATCTGCATGTATTGTTGAACTAAAAAGAAAGTGAAGGTCAGATTCGAACCTCTAATTTCCAAAAAGGTTATTAGAGTCTAATTAAATGAGAGGTGGAGGATTGAACCTCCGATCTTTAAGGAATGAACATGATGTCTTCACTGTTGAGTTAAGTTCAAGTTTGCTACTTTTTTTTAATAGGACAAAACAAAACTCAATTCATTGAATAAAAGCTACCTCGTGGACTACAAAATAAACAAACTCTTCACTGGCTACACAAGTGACCCAATTTGGAGACTGAGAGGAACTTCCATTTGYTATACGCACACATCCACGACTAATCTATGTGCTAAGACATCCTCTCGACATGTAGGAAAGACACTCGAATTCCCGATGTCCAAAATTTGGGTATTATCATTTCTAGTTGAGGTGTGTATTTCAATGTCAACGATTTCCTCATAGCGTTTATTAGAGTATAATGTACCACTTAGTATTGGTCTCATAATACAGTGGTTATAGGCTTAGTTATATCAGTTTTATTTATATTATTCTTGTAACAGTTTGCTCACGGTCTATTTATATGACATCTTCCATTAATGAAGATTTTTATTGAGACATTGTTTACATTTCAATCTTAATAGCATCAATAAGATCCCCTTATCGTTCCAGCAAATACACTCGACGTCTATCCAGGAATTCGAACTTTTATAGGCAGCATCAATATTCATTTTCATCAAACCCGCTCAAGTTTGCTACTTAAATTGTCATTATTCTTTATATTTTTCTATTTTCCTCCTAATTCATCTACTAAAATTATAAAATTTTAAAATATAAGAATCGAAACTAACCAAAGTTGAGAATACAACATATCAAAGTTGAAACTACACTATCAAAATAATATTTTAAGAAAAAAAAAGCGCTATTTATTGAAATAAAAAATTTGTGAAATAAAGGTTGAAAGGTCATAAATGAAGAATGGTTGGAAATTACACTTATGGTGGTGTTGGACTCTTCTTCTAATTTAACGACGCCGTTACCGTCAAAATCGAGATGATTGCCCACGCTCTCCGAAGCACTTGGAAACAGCAATTCCACACTACAAATATCTTGGTCGTGCACATTTAACGCCACGCGCTCGGTTGGCGCGTGGACTAAGAGATTCCGGGGAACCGTCTGTCCAAGTAATCAGTTTCTATCACGAACTCAATAGATTATAATCGAAGCCAAAACCTTACTTATGGAGAGACCAAACAGAATTGTGGGACCCACCCCATCCACGCTTGTCAAAATTATCTCTCTCACCCGGATGAGTTGGATTAAACGCCTTAAAATTCTATCCATATTACTATCAATATTTTTACGTGTTTATGAATTTGAGATAAATCTATATTATCACAAAAATAAACTGACAGAATATAAAGAATATCTACAAAATATCAGTAATATAGACAGGATATTTCTTAAAAAAAATATAGACATAATATTAATATTAATAATTTTGAACTTTAGATGAAAATTTAAATATTTTTTATGAATTTTTTATTTTCATAATCTTTCCAATAATATTTTTCATCGACATCGATATTTAAAATTTTGAAATCAATACCATCGCCATTTTAGTTTTTTTTTTTTTTCCTAAATAGATGATAACTTCAACTTTCAAATCTTACACAAGTTTATTAATATTTTAACTATTTCACAATGTTTCTATAATGCAACATTGTCAATTGCAATAGCAAATTAAAAGTTGAATTGCAAACGTTAAAACATGTCAATCATATTAAGGTAGGTAACCACAATAGTAAATCTATGTTTTAATTATAATATTTTAACATTTTTTGAAATCGCTTAAAAATTCTCAATTTAGTATGTTATATGTTTTAAGATTGGTCAACCCTTTTTTTACCAAAAAAAAAACAATAATAATAATAATGAAATAAACTTCTTACCTATAAAGGTTAAAAAAACCAACAAAATTTTAAATAATTATTATTTTTTAAACAGAAATAATATTAAAGCTAAAGAAAGTATTCTCTCAAACTCTATATTCTTAAAAAAGATCGTGTCAAATTATAAGCACTCCTCTTAATTTTATGAGTAGAAATTACTCAAATCGTCCCATAGCATTCATAATTTCTTCAAACAAATTAAAATTATTAATATTAATATTATGTTCGCATTAATGGTATTTTATTATTTTTTTTTCGATACTATATCGATGTTGATTTGAAAATATTTTAATATTCTGAGAACGTTTTAAACAATTAGACTAAATCGAGAAATTACAAAAGAAAAATAAAATTAGGGAGTAAATTTAGATAAAATTCCAGTTTGTCGTGTGTGTGGACATCTGGCAATTGGCAATAGCTCACTACGTCTGACTCTCATCGCTCTCTGCTTGTGCTTGGATTTCACCATTTTCTTTTCTTCTTCTTTCTGTTTCTCTCTCTACTGCGCTCTTCTCTCTCTCTCTCCTCGTCTTTTCTTTCGTCCATGGTGAAACTGAACTGGTGGGTTTTGCAGCAGAAGCTTTCTTTGCTTTTTGGGTTCCGAAAGCGCCAATCAAAGCTGAAAAAGCCGCTCTCAGTTTTCAATCTTTACGATTCGCTTTCATTTTGTCACTTTCCCTCATTTATTTGACTCTCTCCAAAAGTAAAGCGTTTACTCTTCAAAAGGGTATTTCTCATTTCCCCCTTTTTTTTCTTTTTTCTTTTTTTTTGTTGTTGTTGTTGTTGTTTTAATCTCGGTTTTATCTTCTGGTAAAATAGTCTTCGCTTTGAATATTTGATTCCTGTGGTTTTGTTGGGTCTGCTCTTCTTTTTTCATTTGTTTATAGTTTGTTTGACTCTGATTTTTTCAACTCTTGGATTGTAGAGGTGGCTTCGTTTGCTCTTTCGAGGCTTTGAAAAATATTGCTGGATTTGCGTTTTGGGTGTTCTGATTTTGACTGCAAACTTGTTGTATAAATGGGGTTTTTGTTTGCTTTTTGATTTTGAAGCTTTCTTAAGTCTCCGAAACTCCGATTCAAGTTCGTTCTCTTGAATTTTTATAGTTCGATGTCTGCCATTGCTGTGATTTGGTTGAACTAGGAATCAACAATCCATGGCGGCTCCTGATGAATATCCTTGTTAGAGTTTTCTTCGTGTCATGATTGGTGTTTGTTTCTACTGCTGACAATTTCTGCGATATCTTTGTTGATTGGTGAAGATTGTTAAGCTTTATTCGTGGATTTCTCTTGTAGGAAACTATATATAAGGAGAGTTCTTCTATCTCAAAAGTGTTCATAAGTTGGATTTAGTGCTCTGGTCTAAACTACAGCGATATGTCGGGCGAAACAGAAAGAAGGGAGGAAGAAAACTGGAGAGAATTGGTGAAGAAGATGCTTCCACCTGGAGCATCTCTCCCTGAAAGTGCTAGTGATCTAGATTACTCTATAGCTATGGAGTATGAAGGCCCACCAGTGATCTACGACGTTCCAAGAGTCGAACCCCTTGATGTAAATCCTCGCATAATTCCGGTTGCAGAACCTCTATCTGAATCCCAAAGGTCCATTGCCAATAACGGCCCTCCCACGATTGAACCAATTCCTTTGCCAGTCTCTCGTATTGTTGGAGTCATGAGTTCGCCCACTCACAGTCCAAGGGTATCAGGAAGTTCAGAATCTGTAGTGTCTGTCTTGCAAAACCATGATTTTTCCTCAGCTTCACCTTCAGCCTCCCCAGCTTCAGTTCACAATCCTCCTAGTAATCAATCTAAACAAGTAGTCATTGATGCGAGGAGAGCACCTGTTGTCACTTTTAATACTGTCGATCACTCCCATCGAAAAGAACTTAACGTCGAGAAGCAAGTGTATCCGGAGTATGTTGGAGTTTCAAAGGAGAAGAAGAAAAAGAAGAGTAGAGTATGCTATAGGTGTGGGAAGGGAAAGTGGGAAACAAAGGAGTCATGTCTAGTTTGTGATGCCAAATATTGCAGCAACTGTGTGCTTAGGGCCATGGGGTCAATGCCTGAAGGGCGTAAATGCGTCACCTGCATCGGTGATCCTATAGACGAGTCTAAGAGGTCGAAATTGGGAAAGCATTCGAGGGTCTTGTCTCATCTACTTAGTCCTTTGGAAGTCAAGCAGATTATGAAAGCAGAGAAAGAGTGTCCTGCTAATCAGCTTCGCCCGGAACAGCTGATCGTGAATGGATTACCCCTAAGGGCCGAAGAGATGGCAGAATTACTTGGATGCCCTCTTCCTCCACAGAAATTGAAACCCGGTCGCTATTGGTACGACAAAGAATCTGGTCTCTGGGGAAAGGTGACTATAATTTACTAGCATTAATGTATCTTTTCTACTGATATTTTTATTGTTTGGCCATGTCAATACTTTTGCCTCTGCAACTAGAACTTCATGAAGTACTTTTGTGTTGGTCTGACAGGAAGGAGAAAAACCAGATAGAATCATTAGTTCAAACTTAAGTTTCACTGGCAAACTTAGTCCCCATGCAAGCAATGGAAACACCGAAGTTTACATCAACGGTCGAGAAATCACTAGACTCGAATTAAGGGTGCTTAAGGTACACCTTTTGGCTTCATTAACTGGAACTTAAATATTATAATTCTCATTGTTTTTGTTTCTGAAACTGTAACTATTTTTCTTTTTATATCATATGTAGTGACTCGTTTTCTTGCATCCCCTATCCTAGCTTGCTCATCAAATATGGTACATCTTCCTTGATCTATAAGCATATAAGGCTTTGCTTTTAAAATTATTGGTACCCATTATAATGTGGCTGTCATTTTCAACTATTAGATACTTGGTTAAAAATTATTTTTTATTCACCTACCCATACATTTAATGGTTTTAAAAGTGACAGCTACATTGTGTTAGTCACCTCAAATAATTTTTCTTCTGGAGCGTTTTCCTCTTATAAAATAGTCTTCCTTGTATAAAATAAACTGCTAGTAAAACGTACTCCGTTTGATATTTTTACTTCGTATGATAAAATGTTAAACCACTCAATGGTGGCACCAAAAGACGTTGTGTTTGGAAACAAAGAAGCCTCAAAGTGGAAGCAAAGTAACAAGAGACAGAGAGATGGTTTACTTTAAACTTTACACTTTCACCTTTCTTTTGGCAAAGGATACATCAAGAAGGGGAGAAGAAAAAGTTGAGATCTTTTTGTAATATATCTAAGATATTTATATTGACAAGGAGAACGGTCCAAAGAAGAATCTAACATTTTTGAGTATCTTCCATTTCTAAATAAACTTAAGAATAATTTTGGGAAGATCTTGGATTCTATCACATATATGTTTGAATAAAGGAAGAGCAAAAAAGGATGTTAGGGTCAAGGGTATAAACTATGATGATCTCCATTTCACTCAAGTCTAAGAAAAAGAAAGAAAAGAAAAATTGGGAAAAAGAGATGAATTTTTTAATGACAATTTGGTTTTGCCTCAGCTGAGACTTTTAGCCCCCATGTTGAAAGTGAAAGTATTTTGATCTATTGCACATTGACAAGAACTGTATGTTATAGTTCTTAAAATAAGTTTGAAAAGCTTATGAGAAAATTTGGATTTTCACCAGAGTTAAAAGGATACTGATCTAGAAGTCTTTGTTTGTAGCAAGTGCATTGAAATCATGAGTCAGCTTGATTATTATTATTTTTTTTGAAAACTGGAAGTCGGAACTTTGCTCTCCTATACTCAAGGGCGCCGGCGCCTACCCAAAGACCTGGATGCGGGAGACATCAAAGGTTTTTGATAACTACGCTCACTAGAAGATTCGAACTTGAGATCTCTAGGTCAGTATGACCAAGAAGACCCCAAGCCCTTACTGACCTAGAAGACCCCAAGCCCTTGCCAACTGGGCTGCCTCTTGGAGGCTTGAGTCATCTTGAATATTGAAAAAAAGTTATATCTAAAATGTAAGAATTATATGCATACATATTGAAGCATAACTAGATATCTTATATTTGTTTAATTTTATCTGATTTGGTTGGCTGGTCTTGAACACTGCAATTTCATCTATCTTTAGAGGAGCTAACTCTTTCACTGATTCTTGGTTTTATTTCATTGGCTTCCTCTAAACTAAAGTCTACTCAAAAAGGAAAAAGGAAAAAAAGAAGGTTTTCCATTCTGTGCTGAGTTCTAATGGTTTATGGTTACTGCTATAACTAGACCTATTCATGCTATTATTTTTCAGTTGGCAAATGTACAATGCCCGCGGGACACCCATTTTTGGGTTTATGATGATGGCCGCTACGAGGAAGAAGGTCAGAACAATATCAGAGGAAATATTTGGGAGAAGGTGCACTTAAAACCTTTTGAATGAAGTCTAACTGATGTCAAATTTATCCTTTCTATCTCAAAAACCTTGTGTTTTTTTTTAATAAGGCAGGCTTCGACACGGTTCGTCTGTGCTTTGTTCTCGTTGCCAGTGCCACACGGTCAGCCACCTCATGGAGTGAGAGAAGAGGCTAGCAATTATACAACAGTTCCCACCTATTTTGAGCAGCAAAAAAGGGTTCAGAAACTCCTGCTCATTGGGATTGAAGGCTCTGGAACTAGCACTATCTTTAAGCAGGTGAAAACATGCCATTATTATTATTGTTATTTTGCACTCATATCATCACTTTCTTCTTAGGTTTTCACATTTTCCCCAAAATTATATTGGAATCATGTAATATAACTTAATGTAGGAAGTGGATAAAAGTAGGAACTTATATATACAAATATTGGTAGAGTTGGGAAGTCATCAATCAAAAAAAAAAAAAAGTATTCTAAAAGGAAGCTGAAAGGCGCTTGATGTGTTTAGTTGGTTCAAACAGTCTGAGTTTGAACTTTTCCTTTTTATTTTGCCAACATAATTGTATAAATATCAGTAGGCTGCCGTTTCGTGTTCTTTCATGTTTCTCCATGAAAGCTTTGATTCTGAGCATATTCTGCAAAGAAAATGGTTTGATCTTGCAATTGTGAGGTTGGCATTGGGAAGTTATCACTAGGAAAGCTTGAGGCCATTGCAAAGGAAATGGCCTCGATAAAACTGTTTAAAATCTATTAGAAATGAAACAATTCCATCCACTATCTTCAATATTTATTTTTCTGGGCAGGGAAAGTTTTTGTATGGGAACAGATTTAGTGCAGAAGAGCTTCAAGATATCAAGCTTATGATTCAAAGTAACATGTACAAGTATCTCAGCATCTTGCTTGACGGTCGAGAACGATTCGAGGAGGAGTTCATAAACCGAAACAAAGCTCCAAGTTCCCAGGGGGATCAAGCTCTTGAAACTGGTAACTTTTGCAACGATGAGTTCATTGGCCTTTTTTCATATTCACTTATTGAATGAAATGATACTAATGCTTCTCCAACTACATAATTTTCCGATGGCAGATGGAGAGAGGGAGGTTAGGGAAAGTATTTACTCCATCAACCCAAGGTTGAAACATTTTTCCGATTGGCTCCTCGATATCATCGCCACTGGAGATTTGGACGCGTTCTTCCCTGCTGCAACTCGCGAGTATGCTCCATTAGTCGAAGAGTTGTGGAAGGATCCTGCCATCCAGGAAACATACAAGAGAAAAGACGAGCTCCACTTCCTTCCCGATGTTGCCGAGTACTTCTTAAGTCGGGTACTCCATTGTTCAATCATTAATATCTTTGTCCTTATACTCGAAATTTCAAAGCCAGAACTTTTCATTGGAGATAGCATTATCTGTCCTGTCATCTTCATATTGAATCTTTAGGAATGAATGAGTTATTCCAGGAAAATGCTTAGAAGTTTTTATTGTTTCAGGCAGTGGAGGTGTCGAGCAACGAATATGAACCTTCCGATCGAGATATCCTGTATGCAGAAGGGGTAACCCAAGGGAATGGGTTAGCTTTCATGGAGTTTTCACTCGATGATCGGAGTCCGATGTCTGAGACCTACACCGATAATCTTGAAGCTCCGCCCCCGCCTCTCACTAGGTAATATATTTTTCCATCCTGCACATTCATTGCTCTTCTCCTTGTATGTGGATGAGAGGATTGTAAATACTTTTATGCTCCAGTGCTTGTGATATCAAAAGTACTTGTAATCAAAAAACCATGCTTAACAATGTTGATGCTGAGATGGGGAAAGAAATTGTCCTGAGAGAATGTGTAAGCAAAAAACACTTCTAAGTAGTTTGATTATTTGAAAAGTGCTTCCAAATTTTGTAGCCAAACATTCACATTTGTGTTGGGAAGATTTTTAACCATCTAAAAGTACTTTTGTCATTAAACAACACTCCCAAACATTTTGCCCCACGCAAGTTTCTGCTGGGGGCTGGTTATGTAGCACTAATCTTTTACTTTGTGAACATTTCTTTCATCAAATCGCTTCTTGATTGATGTATTCATGTTTTTATTTTTGATAAATGTATGTTGACTTGTATTTTGTTGTTGCAGATACCAACTTATAAGGGTAAGTGCCAAGGGGATGAATGAAGGTTGCAAGTGGGTAGAAATGTTTGAGGATGTTCGAGTCGTCGTCTTCTCTGTTGCTCTCAGTGATTTTGACCAAATGTGCCTTGCGCCAGAGGGTAGCGGCAGCGGAAACCTATTACAGAACAAGATGATGCAGAGCAAGGAGCTCTTTGAGACGATGGTCCGACACCCTTGCTTCAAAAATACCCCATTTGTGTTGATACTCAACAAGTATGATCTCTTCGAAGAGAGAGTAAACCGAGCGTCATTGAACGTTTGCGAGTGGTTCAACGATTTCAGCCCCGTCCGACCGCTGCATAGCAACCAATCATTATCTCATCAAGCTTACTACTATGTAGCTATGAAATTCAAGGACCTTTATCAATCCATCACGGGTCGTAAGCTCTTCGTGTGGCAAGCTAGAGCGCGGGACCGAGTGACTATCGACGAGGCATTCAAGTATATAAGAGAAGTTGTGAAGTGGGATGAGGAGAAAGAGGAGAACTACTATGGAGGACCTGAGGATTCCTTCTATAGCACAGATGTGAGCTCATCTCCATTTGTTAGACAACAATGATGATGATCTCAACAAATATTCCTTGTACTAGTTTCATAGATAGAGGCAAAAAAGAAGGAAAGGCATGTGCTTCTCCTCTCCTTGAATAAGGTTATTCTTGTAATATTTTTTCTTTTCAAGGTTTTGATTTCTGCTTGGGCAATAGGAAGGCTGCAGCCCAATGATCTTCTTCTTCATATTTATGTTCAAAAGGAAGAAAAATGTTGGATTGATGTTGTAGAAGAATGGTCTTGTAACTTTGTATAGAGAACTCCTCTTAGGCTCTTGGTAGCAAATCTATTGCTTCCCATATTTGATGCATGAACAAATGAGTTTAGCAATGTTATATGAAGTCTAATTCATAAGATTTAAAATTTTTTCATGAAATTGATTGGCATGGAGCTCATTAAAACTCAATTGTATGCAACTAAAGTAACAAATACAGAATTAGTCCAATAACCACTCCAAATCTGTTCTCAACAACTTCTCCAATCCATGCTCACTTTGAAAACTAACTAGACTGAAGTGGAGGCTTCTGCTTCCAAGAAAATGCTTCAATAAAAGACAGCTTGAAAATCAGTTGTTCTATGGCCTTTGTTTTCTCTCTCCTCCCCTTTTTCTCTCTTGCTAAAGTTGTTCAGGGATGAAATGAAGAGGATCATGATGCAACTAGGTCGGGAGTCTCGGCCTCGACTGAAAGCAAAGTCGAATGCACCTTATCCACCCAATTGTCCAGCCGGTCTCGCAGGGATTTGATCTGTTGAATGCCCAGAACCCTAGGTTGCACCCAAGAAACATGTACCGTCCCCTCGACTTGATCGATTATACCCTCTATAAGGTGGACCTGCAATAAAATTCGCCCAGTTTCTTATCAATTATCATAAAAATCCACTGGGCAGTGGTAGAATTCTTCAATCATGGAGAGCAAAGAAGATATGAAACCCGTAACCACCCGAGAGACAAAACATGTCGTGCAAGGTATTGGAAAACTTATAATGCTAGCCTAGAAGCAGATTTATAGTTGTGGCTCCTCAAAGCATTCACCATTTTTTTTTTATCAGAAACCTGTGTATATATTCAAAAGAACAAAGAACAGCCTAAGGCCAGGGGATGAGATGAAAGATTCACCAATAAATACAGAAATACAAAGCCTTTTTCCCTTTTACATCTTGTCGACAAGTGAACGAGTGGTTCTTTATTTTCCTCAAGTGTTGAGAATGTTATAATAAAATAGTTTATTTCAACGTTATGCAAATTTTTTCATCCATCCAACTAATTTCTTCCCCTACATTTTCAATCTAGTACAAATTTTTATGCATTCCATATTAATATCACCACTGCTTTTCCTGTAGGTAAAATCTGAGTTCTTCCAACATCATAATTTCACTTGGCTAACCTTTTTATTTTTTTAATTCGAAGTGACCAAGTTCATGGACAAATTTGAAGCAAATCTTCTTGTGAGCAAATAACTACAAGTGAAACTTACAGAGAGGCTCTTCATTAGTAGATGCTCCACATCCTCTATTGAAAGTTTTGTCCGTTCTGCTATAACATTCAATGGAATGGTTCGATCTTCAGACGGTCGGCTGCAACAAAACCAAATTAGCATAAAAATGATACAGAAAAATCAAGTCATTGGGCAAAAAGTATCCAGCAGACAAAGGAGCAAGGCCTGCATGCCTGAAGATGATTTCCATGAGGCAGAGAATGTTGATTTTCTCTAATAGCTTCTTCTCATTTTCAACTAAAGCTGGTTGTGCCCTTAAAGCTTCATTATGCACTTGACACAATTCTTGATAGCGAACTAGATCACCAGAATTGAATGCCTGAAGTATGTAGTAAAGCCACTCGACCTTTGTTCCTAACAGACTTTTGATCTGAAGTGACAATAAATTGCACATACATGTCAGGTTTGAAGTCCAAAATAAATAGTCATGAAAAGATTAAGCACCGACTAAAAATATTTACACAAATACACCACAGATGATTGTTGAATGTTGATGCTGTCCTTAATCACTTCATAAGTATGAAGACCCTTGTAATCACCCTCTCAAACTAGAGTATTTATTAAAAAACTGTGCGGTATTCGTTTTTACTCTATCTTAAGGATAAAAAACCAACAAGGAATTTTTTTTTTTTAAATGAAGGGAAATATAAGCCCTTGAAAGTAATGTACAACATTATATAAAGAGAGAGCAAAATCATAATGGATCATGGTGCAAATTCTTACAATAGGATGTGCAAGAAGCTCTCCGAAGTTGTAGATGTTATCTCCCAGGAGTGCAGAAAGCGACAAATCAAAGGCTAAATCCTACAGGTACAACAATAAATAATAATTTAAATAATTAAATTAAAACATGAACCGAGTATGAATAGAGAAGTGACAAGGCTATTGGTCAAATTAATTTGTAAGGTAAGCTATCCACTAGAAGAATTTTATAAATGAATCAACGAAGCAGAAGCTACACTCATTAATTACAGACAATAGGACCATATTCGTTCTCTTCAAGGAATGCCTTGAATGACAAAGATGGATCATTGCATCAAAAACTTTAAATTTCTCGTGCACTATGTCGGCTTATTTTATGTTCCCCTAATTATACAAGTGAAATTTTCAATGATGTCAGTTATCGGTACTTGGAAGAGTCTATAATCATAAATATCAAGGACAAAAACATTCGTAACTTTAGACAAAAATTCATCCACCCTCCAAAATTTTATAACAAAGAAGGCACTCAAACCCATCATGCATAGGACATAATGAACTGAGTTTGTCTCTTATTTGAAAAGAAAAACTAAAGTTATAAAAAAGAAAAGTTCATCTGTATCTAAAGGGAAAAACTATTCATCATACCAATTTAAAAGAGTCTGACAGTGATTCTACTGAAGTATATGCCAGATAAAGAAGAGCACTTTTATAGAATTCGGCAAATTCTTTGCGGAACTTATAAAACTGAGATGAAACCCAATAATAGCTAGCGTAAACAGATGGATCAATGTCAGTCATGCTGTCAAGAGTGCTCTTTCCATCTTCCAATAGTTTCTTGCACTCTTTTCGATCACCTTGCTCAAGCTTAAAGATAGCTATTTGCATCTTAATATAAAGGATAGGCTCCTCTAAGCGCTGCTCTTTAGTAATCCTTAATTTCTCAATTATCCCTTCAAGATAACCAATGGCAGCTTCTTTCTCCACATATTGCCGAGAAACAATCACAGCAAAATGTGCAAGCTTGAGAAGATTGATTTTGGTCTCAAAGTAAGTGATGAAGTTGTGGTACAACTGTATCAGTGCATCACCAGCCTGAACATTTAGCCATTAAAAAAAAGTATTAATTGAATTTGAGGTTTCTGCATGAAGACATGTAGGTGGAGCATGCAATTGAAGTAAAAATCAACCAAAAATTCAAAATATACAAGGACTCACCGAATAAAACATAAGCTAGATCAACCTAATTTAGAATTATTTCAGCTCTCAGGAGACCAAAAGCATAACCCATCAAATACATACAGCAATTATCCTCTCCTCAATCTAAATATGCGAAGATCATATTTTTTTAATAAAAGGGTGAAATTGGGGAAGTCCAACTCTGGAATTAACAAAGACGCCAGTTCATGCTTACAATCTAATCCTCAAATTTACAAGTGTCAACTTTAAGATTTAAAAGTTCCAAACCCAATAGCTTAGCCTATTGATGTTAGGCTAAGGTGACTTTGATCTTCCAAATTCATGCCTCAACACTTCTCTCTCACATGGATCCAACACGCACGATACGAACATGAAATGGAGAGAAAATGATATGGCAAAGATTAGGATTCAAATCTTGCTCCACTCTAGTCTAACACAAGCTTAATCTTTTCAGTTCATTTTTAACCAATAAGTAAATTAGTCACAACTCACCTCAACCAGATCCTCGTTTCTCCAACTAAAGAAACCCTACATTCGATCTTTTTAACTTGCACACGCGTACTACTGATATTGGGGTGGGGTTGGGGGGATTTTCCCCGTACTTTACATTTCAAATACTCTGAATCCAATAGAGAGTTGAGGGCAAAATCCAGTAAGCTAAAAGAATCCCCAAAGTTCCAAATTCCACGATCTTCTTCATCTAAAGTACCCTAACTTTTCCGGACATTTCACCATCACAAATTCAATTTTAATATTCCCAGAGCCAAAACCCTAACAGTATCCATCCAAAAATGAAAGCATCTAAAAGCTGAAATACTAACACGGAAACACAAATCAAAATGTCGAAATATCCATTGAAAACGTTCAAAGTTGAAAGAACCGACCTGGAAAACAGTCAGAGCGACAAATTGCTCAAGCTTGAGTGTGAGCTGATGCCAAAGCTTCTTCTGGTACAGATCTGCAAGCGTATTGTACCAATCAGCAAGCTCCGGATGCGAGTTACGAAGAGAATCGAGGTACTGTAAAGCGGCCATGGCTACTCCGGCTATGGATGCTCGAAGGGAAAGAGACTCCGATTTATATAATTTGTGCCTTCCTCCTCTGTTCTTTTTCTTGTTCTCAAAGAAAAGAATAGAAAAGCAGAGGAAACTTTTGAGGGGGGGCTTTATGGTAAATTCGGACGCTCGCATGGAGTCGGGTTGGGAATAATCCGACCCGATACGTTGATCATGGGTTATCGGGTTTAATTAATTATTTATTTATTTATTTTTCCTCCTTGGGTGGGAGAGGAGGGCAATATTGCCATCTACTTGGACCAACTATTATGATTTTCTTCGTGTCTATATTTTAAATTTTTATATATATGATTCGTGTACTCTCAAGATGTCTATAATGGTCTTTATACTCTTAATAATTATTCATTTGGTCGGATTTCCGATGAATCCAATGACTCAAATTTGAACTTTGAAATACATTATATTATTAGTTAATAGTTTACTTCAAATTAACAAATTCATCCTTAAAGAATACTTGTTTTTAGATTTAAGAACTAGATATTTTAAAAGCATAAGTACCAAAATGAAACAAATCTATAAGCTTGAATGATGGTGGCTCAATTCATTGGATTAACTAGTTAAGTATTTGCAATTAGATTTTTTTTCCCCAGTTTAACAATATATAGTAATAAGGATTCGACCTTTTTTACTTTTCAGTCGGATACATATGTTTTAATCAGTGGAGCTATATTCAGACGGATCACAATTATCAGTTTAAAAAATAATTAAATTGAGACTTGTCCGATATGATATATATTAATAAAAGAAGAATCTTTATTAGAAAAGTAAAAATTAAAAGATAAAAGTAGAACCCATTAGGCAGGCAGGATATATAGTTAAAATTTTAAGGAAAAGTAGTTAGTGCATTGCAAGTGTTTATTAACTTTAAGAGAACATTACCAAACTTTGCTTAGGTGTTTATTTTATTTAAAAAGAGATCAAAACACAATACTGAATGCACCTGTTTTTTCTTTTAATGGAAAAAAAAGAAAAAAAAAACAGTAATGCAATCAAATTAGCATAATTGCTTTTCTTGTTTACTTTTTTACAAATATTGTCGAAATTACTATTTTTATTTTGGTTTAAATAATATATTTGTCAATCTCTATTTTTGTTTTTTTTTTCAACTTAATTTCAAAACAACAACTTTCATTTTAGTTTTTTTTTTTCAACTTAATTTCAAAACATTTGTTTTAAAAAGTTGTCATTTTAATTCATTAATTTCTATTTTTATCTCATTTACTTGATCATAATTTTAGTATGACACTCCGATCATTAAATTTCTTAAAATGAAACCATAAATTTATATTCGAAAGTTTTCATTGTATATTCAATTCTGCAAAAAGTGACTAAATTGGTAACTCTTAAAAAGTCCAATGACATAATTGAACATTTTGAAAGTAGAAAAACCGTAACAAACAAAAATTGAACGTGTTGAAAAGTCAAGAACCAAAATGAATCAAAATCAAAAGTAGAGAAATCGAAATAGTATTTAAACCAAACTCAATCAAAAAAAGCTTATAAATTATAATCTAAGCTAACTTAAAATCAAGGATTTTATAGAAAACTTATCCTACGGAGAAACATAGTTCTACCGTCCCACCACTTTAAATATCATAAAGCTCATATTTTTCACAAAGCAAAAGCATTAGCTGTAAAGGTCATTTCATGTATAATATTTGATCATATCCAGCAAAATCCATCTACTATGTTTCCATTCATCAATTGAAACTCTAATCCTTTCAAACTTTCGTAGCCATGTGCTGGTAGTTACACTTACCTAACATTAATTGGCTTCCCCTGCTTCCTCTAAACTCTCGAAAGCCCGAGCAGTCCTCGTACGCTTTCATATTTCGAGCTGAACAATACTTCCTTGCTCTTGCTTCCTCTCCTCTCTTTTCCTGTTTATCAAAAATTTGAGCGAGTAGGAAAGTATTGTCCTTTCAGTCTTCAACACGTTGCAAGAAGTCTTTTAGTACCGGAACAACAGAACTAATAGACTGAACACAGAGAGTTGAAGATTTGAAGACTAATCTTTTTAATATATATTATGTAAACGCTGAACCTGTGACATGGGGCATTGTACATGGAAAAAAAACAATGAAGGGAAAAAATTGGATGGAGGGAGGAGATAAACTTGAAAAAAAATACTGTATGGGGAACTTTAAATTCCAAAGGATAAGTAATTAGCTGTTCTATATCCCAGATTCCTCGAGTAGGTTTAGGATGTTACGTTCGGGAGCACTGATCGATGGTAAGATCAAGCGATTTGGCCGTGTCGCCTGTGGTCTTGTCTCGCCAACTTCAGCTTCCTTCATCACAGGCAAATCTGCCAGTTTACGCATACTCGCAGATCGCTGCTTCCATATTGTGCCATCCTAGTGATTGAGGAGTTCAAAATCAGATTTAGATCTCAAAATATATCTCAAATCTACAACCTTCACCAATAAGTTTGGCAAATGAATATGGAAATCAACAACATCATAATTCCCTAACAGTTAATCCAATCGAGACCAGCTTCATAGCTTCAAAACTTCACCTATCATAAATGTTATACTTAATCCACAAAACCCGAGAGGGCCGAGACAATACATATTGTGCAAGTAAATTTTTTAACAAACTTTGACAATAGTGCCCTGGGTGGAAAGAGAAAAAGAAAAAAACTTGCAGGTAGACGTATCGACACCTGCATACTAAATGTTCAGAAAGAGGAAAAGAAATCTCAAAATAAGGTATCACTAATAAATAGAAGCTAACAATGACCTTAAAAGCACTTGTATTTTTTCAGAAAGAATCCTCAGCCAAACTTTTACATACTTCACCCTCATAGATAAGAGAAATTAATATCATTCAAGTTGAATGAAGAACAAATTAACCCAAGTCCTTCTGAATCCATAGTTCTTTGTTTGATCTCACATGTTTGAACTAACTTTACCAAATCGGCAACATTGCCCGGTTGGGGTTCCTAGAAATTCCCATGCCAGGAAACCCCATAGGCATAAGCTAGAAATTTAAACCTATGACTTTGGTCCTTTTCCAATGAAGGAACGCCTTTACTCTATGAAGCTTATATTGGTTTTTTGTATGGTTCTAAATTTCGCCTTTAAAATCACGAGTTGACCTTACAAAATTAATCTAGAATATTCAATTTTTGCGACCGCAACTTGTCTAACACTCATGAAGATAAAGTGTTGAGCCACTTGCTTCGCCTTGGATATATACATATGGTATAACAGAACTAGATCTTGAGCCACTTGCTTCGCCTTGGATATATACATATGGTATAACAGAACTAGATATAAGGATCGGATAGGCATTAAAATGAACAAAATTGTACAAGAAGATCAAGTCTGCAGCTCACATTCAGAATTGATGGTTCAGGCAATGGGCACTGAATTGGCCTGTCGTTTTCCAGAGGCTCGACTGGGTGTTCAACAGGCTTGAACTCTACTGCTACTTCAATTCCATGAGAAGCAGCAGCAGAGGTTGCAGTTACGCCAACGCTCTCCGGGTTCGGAGGCAGTACTTCTCTCCCATCCTGCACCAAAATAAGCACACTTTATCAGCATCAAACTACCCAAAATATCCAACTAAAAGTGTAAAACATCTAAAAAGTAAAAGAAAACATTGATCCAGATTGTAATTTCCTGACCTCCATCAAAGTTTCAAAATAAAACAGCAATATGCTAAGATCTCAGAAGCAAAGAAACCATGGAAATTATAAACATAAATGCTAAAAATTGCTCCACTACTATGGAATCAAGTATCAACGACGTTAACTATTCTTATTATTATTATTTTTAAAAAAAAGACGAAAATCAGAACTAGATTCGAGTTTCAGATGACCCAAGTCAAAGAATTCTACAAAAATGACCCCAAAAGAATCGTATTCCCCACAATAA